GATTGTTGTATGAAATTTGGTAAACAAATATCTAGAAATTATCTTCACAGTTTCTTAGGTTCCATTTAATTTGGTATTTGTTTTTGTGTGATATATTTCTCTTAGGGCATGTCAAATGGTAAAGCTGCAATTAACAGTGTCTTTTTTGTGTTGCAGTTCCACCAGTACCAGGTTGTTGGGAGGAAGCTCCCTATGGCATCTGATGAGCACCCCAAGATTTACCAAATGAAGCTCTGGGCCACCAATGAGGTTCGCGCCAAGTCCAAGTTCTGGTATAATCCTTAGCCTTAGCTCGGCTTTTGTGATCCCAAATATTCATTGGTGAATTTTGGGTTAAACTTAATATTGTTGATTGATTTGTTTGGATTAAGTATTTCCTGAGGAAGCTGACGAAGGTCAAGGAGAGCAATGGCCAAGTGCTTGCCCTTAATGAGGTTTGTTCTCTCAGCCGTTTATACTTTATTTTTTCTAATTAATAAATTTGTACCCATTTTGATTATTTGTCAGTGTCTAATGTAGTCAATGTTGTTTTGCGGTGGGGAAGTGGTTCCTCCTCAACTCTCCTCCTGGCGAAATCCAATTTGTTGCCAAAGGTCTCCACCTTTGACCCCAAAGCGTCGCTCTTTTATCAAATTTATTTCGCTTTTTTCTAATTTTGTTTTGATCATTTGAATCGTATTTTGTATTTGATGTTTGGCTTTGGTGGCAGATGTGAAGGAGGCTGCGTCAAAGGCACCCCCTCGAAATGACCGGTCGAATTGGAGACGTATGTTTTCTTTTCTTTTTTTCTGTTTTTTTTTCCCTTCAAAATTGAAGCCTCCACTTTGCTGAATAAAGGCTCCTCTTGGATTTAGTGTTTCGTTTTGATGAATTTTGGGCTCTCACATGTCTGCGAAATTGCTAACCTTTCTTTTGTATTGGGGTTCCAATTTTCCAAAATCAGTTCTCCCTAAGGTGATAAGTTTTTCCTCTCTTTTTTACTTTTAACTCTGAGGTCTCTGTCCAAAACAATTTTTTTTTTCATAGTACGTTTTATGCAATGTACAGATATATTATAGGAATGAATCTGAGTTATCTCCTCTGTTCAAGAAGGCAAATTCATAGGTAAATACATAGCTTTAATTACCTCCTCTGTGCAATTGGGTTTGGCCAATATCCCAACCCAGAAGAAGTTGTTCAAGAAGTTCATAGGGAAATACGTAGCTTTAATTACCTCCTCTGTTTTCTTCTCTTTCTCAGCCTTTTGTAGATCTGAGTTATCAATCTTTACTTCTTTTTTCCCTTTATTTTTCAGGAAGGTTTATGCTTCTTTGGCAAGAAGGCAAATGCTGCAAGGAACCCAAAAATACCAGGACTCTTCATGCCTAACAGAAACCCAATAGATGACTGTTGGGAATGTGACTCAAATTGGCCAAACAACAGGCAGAGCTTAGCAGATTGTGCAATTGGGTTTGGCCAATATGCTCTTGGAGGCAAAGGTGGTGAGTATTATATTGTCAACTTTACTCCACCAGTTTTAGATTGAATTTATTTTTTTATAACATATATCCTTTTAAACTCAACATTTAATTTTATATTTTCCCAAGAAAATGACACAATTTTTGGTACAATTTTCTTCCGATAATTGGAGTAGGCAAGTAGCAAAGGATAAACTATCAAAATAGCTAGGTTTAATATATGCTAGGAATGTCTCATTGGTCAAGTGTCAATAAAATCTTTGTTTTTGTTCTCAATTACTGTTTACACCATGCTTGAACCCAAAGTATAAGATGCGATGATAATTGAAATGCCTAGAGACCAATCCTGCTTCTGATATTTTATTTTCAACTGATTTGCTTAGGAAAAAAGGCATAATTTCATTGCTCACTGTTTACACCATGCTTGAACCCGAAGTATAAGATGTGATGATAATTGAAATGCCTAGAGACCAATCCTGCTTCTGATATTTTATTTTCAACTGATTTGCTTAGGAAAAAAGACATTTTATTTTCAACTGATATTTTATCTTAAAGGTTGTGTCTAATTTCTCAAAGTTATTTTGTCCCAATTCTACACTCTGCTAGAAGTGCAGCCTGTGACCATGAAAACCACTGTAACAATCGACAAATTGTTAAATTCCCCTTTTGATTTTTCTGATATTATGAAATTGCTTCCATCCTTTTTGAAGGCTAAATGATTTTGTTATAATATTTGTGTATGCTTTTGGAAGAGAGACTTTTGTTGACTGCAATCTCCTGATTCCTAGATTTTGCCAAACCTTTAGTAAAACTTAATGATTGCAGTTAATTATATCTCTTATTTAATGTGTTTCATCCACTTTGTTATGTTTCTATTTTGAAAGATGCT